TCTTAAGTTTACGCGAACACCACACATCGAATAAAACTATTTGTTCGGATTTTATCGCGTTTAATTAACTTATTTTTAATTTCCGACGTTTGAAGTCTGCAGTCTGTGAGCATGTTCAAGATCGTCTTCACCATTACATAAGATTTGATAAAGTGATAAACCACAAATCCTCGCAAAAGAACACCGATTCCTACCAAGGATGATACACGAGGCTATTGAAATTAAAAAAAAACATCCTTATTTCAACAGAAAAGATGGATGGGGACCCAAGCATACCACTGAAAGACTTCAAGATACTGTATGCTCGTAAAGTAACTATGACCTTGGGACTGAGACGTCAAACATCTCAGTCCCCCTCGTGACCAAGGGTGCTGTAAAGCACTTGATATGTTGGGTATTAAAAATAAGTTAATTAAACGCGATGAAATCCGTATAAATAGTTTTATTCAAATACTGCTTTCTGTAAAAGCAGTTCTCACTACAAAAACTTTCGAAAAGTTCCTTGACCCTTACTATAGGGCTTCAGTTGTTCTGTGTATGACGCCGATGTTACGGTACTAGAAGAAGTTGGTATCTGAATGAGATAGGTACGTGGAGAAAAGAGTATAGAAATTGTAAAAGCCTAAAAAAGTAAGTGAAGCAAAATAAAGTTACAGCCTATATACGTTCGGTATCGAGTAGTGGCGGTGTAAGAATATCCATTACCCCGTATCATCTCGTGGGATGATGCACTCTGTGGGAGGGAGGCCTATGTTCTGCAGTGAACCTTAATAGACTTTAACCGTATCAGTATATACATCCTAATGCAGGCATAAGCCTCCTCTTATATCTGAAAGGATTATGGAGCAACTAGTCTGCTACGTTACTCGAATGGGTGTTTATTCCTCAGCCATTCAGGTTTCCTCACGACGTTTTCCTTCACCACCAGTTACATGGTAAATCAACATTATAGTAATTACCAAATTCATTGGTGTCATCTACGATCGGACACGTACTATGAAATTTACCACAAGCGCTTATAGTTTCTCAAAAGTTAAATATTCTAAATAAATTTGTAGAAACAATAATAAAATTGTTGATTTTGTTGATTTTGAAGAAATCCAAACTAACCGATCAAAATATAAACTACAAAAAGTTAGTTATTAACTCTATCAAGAAAATGGTAAAATTAAAAATTTAATACAACTGACTTTAATACAAATAAAATTAGTACATCAATGTATTCGAAGTCAATTAAATACGCATTATTTAAGGATTAATCAAAAACTATGTGGGACCATAAGAAAAGCACCAGCTTTCACATTAAAAAAAATTATATTAATATAATTTTTTAATATACAAAAATCGGTTCACCCAGAAAAAAAATCTGAGACAACACACACAAGGATAAGTCACGGGATGAATGTTGGTAGGGTCGGATTTAAAGTTTGGGCAACAATAAGTTGGAGGTGCCGATAATTTTTCAAACAAAGCAAAACGGCCTTTTAACCCGTTTCAATAATATATTTAGAGACCTTTTAGAAACTAATAAAAATTCTTATAATTAAAATATTTGGTTGTATTCGTATGTAACAAATAACGAAGATATAATATGGAGAAGGACGGATTCTTGCGACATTACTTCGACAACAATTCATTAATTAATTATTCTGGTAAAATCCAGCTCTCTTAGTAGGTTTAATTTTGCTAGGCGGTTTCATATGAACATAGTTTATGCATAACTGGCAAACTATTCCTTAGCCAATTTTACCAAAACTATATTATAGATGCCTGTCTTTTTTAGACACCTCTTTGTTAAATCAAACACACAATTGGCACAAGGAACAATACAATAAATATTAACTTATAATACGTGGTAGAGCCACGCTGCATTATGATTATAACACGAATGGGTCAGCTTGACCGGGGAAGGACCACGCTTTCACAGAATAGCAGTGTAAAATAGCAGCTTAATGCTGCTGTGTTTCGTATATTGAGTGTAGAGAACCGGAGACCCGTTTTACTGGAATCGATTCATTTCATCTTAATAATCAGGAGTAACAACGCATATGCATTTTGATTCTTAATCGGGGTTAAATGTAGGGTCTATGGGACACAACATCCAGTATTAGGTGGTCTGTGGGCTCATTTGTAACCGTTATTATATAAAAAATGTATCAAAGACTAAAAAAATTTACATTTTTTGTAGATAACATGAGTATACCTTAACTTAAAAATATATAAAAATAAAATATGACTTAACACTGTATGGGGAACTTTTTACTTTGAAGCGTCTTTATATTTGCGATTCATTGCTCCAGAAGGCAGGTTACTGAAGTTTTACTATAATATCTTCATTACGGACTCTATCACTGGCGAGAACTACGACCATAGCCCTCCATCTCATCACAATAGCTTCCTGGCTGGAACTTAAGCTTCTTTATAGCATCAAGGATCTCTACACATGTTCTAAATGTACAACTCAAGAATATTAATGTTAATTTTATACAAAATACCATTTTAGGTGTCAATATTATCTCTGCTACTATAACTGTAATACGGATAGTTTTAAATATAGTATAGTAATATGTTTTTCACGGGCCATTTTTCCACATTTACCTCAGATTTAATGTAAAGAGGAAAAACACTTTTTGTAACTTAGCATGGTTCGTCTAAACGCTGGAAGGTAGCAAAGCTTTTAACATAATTTCTTCGGCATGGCTGTGATAACACAGCGATAGTGATCAAATCATTTCATTTATCGATTTTCGATAAAAACATCCTTTATATTATACATGATTTATACATATTTTTATAGGATAAGGCGACAAACGAGCACACAGTGCACCTGATGGTAAGTGGTTGCTGTGGCCCATAGACATCTACATCTATCCTCGATTACGAATCAAAATGCAGATGCGTTGTCACCCGTGAGGACTAAGATGGAATGCCTCGTTTCCAGTAAAAAGGGTCTCCGGTTCTCTACACTTACCATACGAAACACAGCAGCATTAAGTTACTATTTTACGCTGGTATGATGTGTATTTCTGTCATTTAAAAATAATGAGACAAGAAATATTATTTCTGAAATTTTTGCCCAAAAGGTATTATGAGTATAAAAGACCCGTGGACCATAATAGGTTCAGTTTGATAATTTCGTCAATCAAGTTCACATTAGCTTTATGACTTGGGCGCGAGTAAAAACTGATTCAATATGCTTGCCGTTACTTTGATTCTACATATGCATATACGTAGCGTCACGCCTGTAGTCTCCAAGGGGGTAGGCAGAGTTCAAAGAGCAGCGAGCTATTCGGACCACGCTTAGTCAAAAATATGGGTTTAGATGAAAAAATTGTGAAAAGAAATTTATTTATTTATTATCTTTTTATTGAATTTATTTGAAACTTCAACACTGTAACGCCAATAAGAATGGAATCAACAACCACAACACACAAATGAAAAATCGACCTCCTCGATAGTGGGTTCATTGCCCCCAGGGGGGGCTGCTGATAGGTGGTTATAGTCCATCGTATACGAAATCACAAACCTAATATCCCATCAGTCGCCTTCTACGGCATGCTAGGCAAGTAACACAGTTGGTATATTCTTCTTCAGCTGACTTCAAAAAAAGAGGAGGTTCTCAATTCGACTGTATTTTTTATGTATGTTACCTGAGAACTTTCTTCTAAGTTGGTGGACCAGTACTTTTACCAAGGACCAGTAGCTTTAAGTTATCTTTAATAATGTGTATTTAATTGAATTCGACTACATTGATGATGTTCTAATTTTATATTAAAGTCGGTTGTACAAAATGTTTAATTTTACAACTTGTTGTTATAAGTAAGTCCCACAAAAATATGGAAATAAGTTCCAGAAAAACATAGGAATGCTTGTATCCTGTGCGTTGAAATTCTATGTCTATAAAGTTATATAAATAAATGAACCATATTTGAGACGAATTACGCTTTGTGTTTTACAGACTTAGGAATGGTTATGTGCAGTTGACTGCGAGTTCCGAGTGAAATTATAAAGCTAGAGCTAAAGCGGAGAGTTAAAGAGAAGCCAAGCTGTAAGTAAAGTTAAAATATGTCGCACTCGGTGGCGTTGAGGTTAAACGTCGGCCTATTTTAACTAGTAGACTCTTAGTTTCTTGTTTGTCCTGTTTTTATTCAAATGCATTCGTTTCTCCAAAGTTTTATGTAATACTATTTTCTCTACATTCGAATTCTTTCGTTAAATGCATTATATTTAGCGGTTTTGTCAGGAAAGAGAACAGCATTTAATATAAACGAATTAATAAAACACTAGGTAAAATAATTGAAGTTAATAAATGGTAGCCGTGAGAGCCCGTGATAGGTCATATGCTAAGGGTTTGCCGTACTGTACGCGAGCAATCTGGATTCGATCGCCGCTGGCACCAATGAAATTGATAAATTAAATTTTAAGTGTGATATATCACGTCCTCAGTGATGAAGGAAAACGTCGCGAGGAAAGCGGTATGTCTGAGAAGTTAAAAAAATTGAAGACATGATACAAAATCCGCCAACACCCATTGAGGCAGAGTGACGGTTACTTCCTTGTCCTTAAACCCTATCATAAATGAGAGGTGGCCTGTGCCAAGGTCCTGAGTCAAGGTTGTGTTAAATATCCTAAACATTAACTAAAATTATAATGAAATTGGACATCTTTTCAAGCAAAACCGATACCAGTCTTTAACTGTACCCTAAATTAAATCCCTCGGTTTGTTTAAAAATTATATTTTTTTTGGTCGGCAACATTTAATTATTAAAATACAGAAAACAAACACTTTGAATAATGAACAATGACTTCTGTTTAGTGAACAAACGGAATGACCGTCCATATTTCTTTATTTTCGGAAGTGGTTATGTATAAACGCAATGTCTGACAATATGCGTTTGAGTGTTTTATGCTTGACTCTCTTAATATGACCCGGTGTGTCAGAGTGATCACGCTATGACTCATTCTATTTCTGTTCGGATGACGTGGCGTAGAACGTGAAGATGGAGAGCGGGGGTTCCACGACGGCCTCCGAGGCCTACCAATATGTCGGGCCCTTCAGATTGGAGAAAACCCTTGGAAAGGGCCAAACAGGTAATCTTATGATTTGTTTTGATATTTGTCGTATTCGTACAGGTTGATTATTCACAAGTATTATAAATTTCTTCATAAAACAATAGCTGTTAACAATAGTAACTTTTTTATATTTTTTAAGCTTATTGATTTTTACGTCAATGATTTTAATTTCACCAGTTTTAACTAATTTAGCGTCAATAGCGACAAGCCCAAAGGGTAATGGCAGGATACGGACTGCGAAGTAAAAAAAAGTCGTGGTTTCGAATCCTTCAATTGACTACTATCGTAAACCGATCTTAACACAGGCATTTTAAGCTAATAAGGAGTGGTCAAAGAGAATGTTAGTAATGTTTATGGCATGGCTAGTACTTAGAAAAAAAATGTGGCGGAGACCAAAAGAGGATAATATTTTTGACTAATACAAACTAACTAGATATGTCTGTTCTGGCCTGTTAATTTTTTTGTACGTACCTTCTCAAATCATCATCGGATTTTGACAAATGATATCACAATCGATTCGCGTCATAATTTCGCGGATAAAATTCGCCATGTGACGTCAGCAGAAAGCAAATGTGGCATTGACAACATAACAAATAATAACAAGCAAAAATAGTATTGGATATCACATGAATTATATCAATGAGTTCATACCTATTAGAACATCAAACCTGTCACCCAAAGGGGTAGGTAGAGATTTCGAACTTCCATTTCGCATGATCCTGACACACCTCTTTCGCTACTTTACGTTCATTTATCATATATATGCTCGTCGGTTAAAGCGGGCTACATACGACACGATATCGGTGGCGATCTAGGGTGGAGTAGTGGGGATGCCTCCTAGATTGCCTCTAAATCGTGTCGTATGTAGAGCCATCCTAAGTCGTAGCCGATATCGCCTCCTTAATCGGCTGGCAGGAGCAAAAATGCTTCCTAGATCAGCCGATGCTTCCTAGATCGGGGCACCGCCCCCTCCTTACTGCGTGTGTGTAGGCGCATCGGCCCGATTTCTTTTGGCAGTCGCTGCCGGCAACCCTCGCGGAAGGAAGTTAACAAAACAGTGATACTGAATGACCTTTTTTATGTAACAAAATTTTTACATTTTAATCATATAAACGGAGCAGAAGCCTATGGCACTGATATTTTACAAAAAACCAAAAAAAAGTGAATAAAATAAATAAATTAAATTAAATTTTATCGAAATTCAAATCATATCCACCCTAGCCTGTGACCCTGCGAAGTGACATGGTCAAGAATGCCTACTAAACTAATTTTTTATTGCCGTTCGTAAAGTAGAGTGTATGATGTAAGTAAGGAAAAGTTAAAGCCTCTCCTCAACAACTAACTCCTATTCCAACACTATCAAAACAAGACCGCACTCATATCTCTTACAACTCCACAAGACCACAATTCGATCTCTAACGTGCCTTCATCCTCTTATAAACAAACTTCTACTCCTTCACCATCTCCACATCAACAAACAAGTTATATAAAAGGGAGTATGTCCGAAATTAAAGGTTTCTTTATGTTTAAAAAAAAGATATAAGCTATTTTATTTTCTGATAGTTTTACTCCATAAATAAAGATTACATTAAAAAAAAAAGTATACATATTATTATACAAAAGTATTTTATTTCCTTGTTTGTTGTGTGTAATACTTAACCAGATTTTGACCAAAGCAGAAATGAACAAAGAGAAGAAATAACTAAATAGCATAGGTACATAGGAGAAATTGATGTTTTTATATAAGTGGCGAAATCATTTCTAGAAGGTTATAAAAACTGCCTTCATCCATCCGGAGAAAATTAATTATGTCTTTGGAATACAATTACGTACGTAACAATTTAGTACGTTTATGTGGCTTAATTTTTGTCTCTTTTGGAGCCATTTTTCACCCAGCAACTCCTCTTTTTCTATTTTCGAATAAATTTACCGAGAGGGCTAATGCCAAACCAATACATTGGTGTTTTAAGAGAGTTGAAGCTATTTTGAAGAACTCTACCGCATATGTGTTCCGCTCCAAGTCCGAACGCGTACTGCTAGGCAGGCCCGTGTGTAGGGTCTGCCCCGATAAAAGCCCCGATTTCTTTCCACCCTAGATCGCCACCGATATCGTCTCGTGTGTAGCCCGTTTAAGGGTACTCTCAACTTGGCCAGTCTTCAATAATATCGCTAATTAACTTTCGTCTGGAGCATCCCTCTCCGAATCTGCCACTCACTTCTGCCAAATCAATTTGCTTTGTCATTACTTTCTTATTCATTTTTCTACTTGTCCAAAATACACAAAATTTTCTTGCGAACCACACTTTTCTCTTATCACATTATTTCTCATTATGCCATTTAAATCATCCTCAATATTATTTTTAATGACCACATTTCTACAGCATTAATCTCTTAAGCCTCTTCTGCCATACTCAACCTTCACTACCATACATTAAGGTACGGACTAACACAGCATTGTAAGCCCTTTGGCTTCACATAATAGAGTTATGAGAATATATTTGGAATAAGTACATTTCAAGCAAATATAATTAGTAAATGAAATATATTTTATGTAAGTTAGACTGCTAAGGGTGGTTTCTTTTTTTAATTATATTTTATTATTGCTAAAAGTGTCTTAGTCATTATTCATAATTGAATATTACACTTGTGTTTTATTTTGTATTTATAAGGGTGACAAACCAGCACACAGGCCACCCGATGGTAAGTGTATTCTTTGGCCCATAGCCATCTTCATATATCCTCGATTAAGAATCAAAATGCAGATGCGTTGTCATGCGTGAGGGCTAAAATGGAATGCCTCGTTTCTAGTAAAAAGGGTCCTCGGTTCTGAACTACACGGCATTAAGCTGCTATTTTACGCCGGTATTCTGTAAGCACGTGGTCCTACCTTGGTCGAGCTGACCCATTCGTGCCGCAACAGTAATATAGCTGCAGCTTGGCTCTACCACGTAGAAGTCAAGTGTAGGATACAGCCTTTATTGTATTATGTTCCATAGTTACAGGCCTCCTCACATTTCTGAGAGGGTAATGGAGTACTATATATGTATGTGGACTATGAGAAAGCCTTTGATTCCGTCGAAATTTGGGCGGTGTTACAGTCCCTTCAGCGGTGCCAAGTTGACTGTTGGTATATCGAAGTGCTGAAGTGTTAATACAGTAGGGCTACGATGGCTCTCCGAGTACAGAACCAGAGTAAGAAACATCCAACTGCAGAGAGGTGTAAGACATGGTGACGTTATTTCCCCGAAACTCTTCACCGCTGCATTGGAAGAAGTTTTCAAGCTACTGGACTGGAAAGGATACGGTATTATCATCAATGTCGAGTACATCACTCACCTTCAATTTGCCGACGATATAGTCGTTATGGCAGAATCGCTGGAGGACCTAAGCACTATGCTCTATGATCTCAATGGTGTCTCCCAACAGATAGGTCTTGAGATGAACATGGATAAAACAAAGATCATGTTTTAATGTCCATTTCACACCTATGCCGGTAGTTGTTGGGAGCACTATGCTCGAAGTTGTTGACGACCTGGGTACAAATACCTGGGATAAATAGTCCGACTGTACGTCCAACTTTTAACGAGAGGTCAAGCGACGGATTCAACTCGGCTGGGCAGCGTTCGGGAAATTACGACACATCTTCTCGTCAGGTATACTTCAAACTCTGAAAACTAGATTGTACAACCAGTGCGTGTAGGCAGTGATGACTTACGGATCTGAGACGTGGTCCTTCATTGCTGGCCGTATGAGGACACTCAAGGTTGCTCAGCGAGCTTTGGAGAGGGCTATGCTCGGAGATTCTCTGCGTGATAGACTCAGAAATGAGGATATCCGCAGTAAAACCAGAGTGACCGACATAGCCCAACGGATTAGTAAGCTGAAGTGGCAATGGGCTGGCCATATAGCTCGAAGAACCGACAACCGTTGGGGAAAAAAGGTTCTCGAGTGGCAGCCTCGTACCGGTAGGCGTAGTGTAGGGCGGCCCTCCCCCCACTAGATGGAGTGACGACCTGGTAAGACATGCAGAAAGTCGATGGATGCAGGTGGCTCAGGACCGTGCTTTGTGGCATTACTTGAGGGAGGCCTATGTTCGGCAGTCGACTTGTGAAGGGCTGTAATGATGGTAATGATGATTATGATGAATGAACTACTAGTCCAACGCGCTGGTCCTGTGCGTGTTGACAGACTTCATATTCAAAATATTTGACCGACTAAAACTCCGGTTTCTTTCGTTAAGCTCATCTTTTAGCTACTACTACGTATGAATGGAGGAATGGTATAGTATAATGTTTATTCAATAATATAGATAAGAGAAGTACGAGTATATAGTGAAAGTCATGTATGCTTTTACCACTAGTTCGGAAAAAATCTCTGTCCTGGGAAGAACCACCAAGACTCCCCGCGGGATTCATTTTTAAAACATAAATTTACGTCAGAACATGTTTTTTTTATATTAAATATGAGGAAGAATTTGATCACTATGTATTTTGCATTTTTGAATATTAACTTCATCGTTGCCTCGAAAATATATGACGAGAATTTGGCCCACGGAACACTAATACCCTAGGATTTGACCCCCGTTTTCTGGCTGACACACACTGATTATACTTTCCTAGACAGCAGAAAAGCGGTAGAATGCAAACTAAATAAAATTAAACATATGCAGCCCTTACAAATTACACTCCTAAATAAGATATTATCTAATTTATGGTCTTTACTCTACGGTAGGTACAAACGGAATACACAACTAGTAAATCTATGATAAGAATCTGTACTTTCTTTTAATTTCAAACAGGCCTACGATAAAGGAAACGCAATTTGATACTTAATTAAGAAAAAACTTCTGGGACCCTGTTTTACGAACTTGACAATAATTGTAATTTAGCGTGACACTTCGACGTACATTGCTGATTACGTTTAAGTTGTTATATAGACACTGTAATGGATCCCGAATTGGTATGATTAATAGGGTACTTGACACTCATGTCAATGTGAAGTTTTTTGTTACACGATGT